CCCAGTATACCTCCCATCCCGCACCCTCCCCCTACCTGTGGGGCAGATGATTTCCACATTACTCTCTCTACTTTGATTACATTCAATATTTTGACACCAGACCCACCATTATTATTTGAGATTTTCCCCCAACACTCAGATCTGCTAAAAAGGCAACAGTAGACAATTTGTTTTCTATTGCTGGTTATGAATAACATATGATGTCATGTGACTGCAGTAGTGGCTGTGAGATTTTGGAATTCTGAAATTTTATCAATTAAATCTGGAGGGATTTCTTCCAAAACCTGCTGGGTTCCGAGATTTGTTCCTAAGTCTCTTGGATCATGGCCGTTAAGCAGCTTGATCAGGATCCAGAGAGGCCATTCATGGGCAGCGACTCGGGGTCTCATTGGGGCAGGGAGGAAAGGGCCGGCTTCACCCCCGTCCTGTGAGGCCCCACGTATCTCATCACTGCGGACCCAAACCTGACTCTGGAGGATGACCTCTGGAGGATGGCAGCTACCGAGCCGCCAGGGGGATCAGGCCAAGGCACGAAACTTATTCCCACCTGGGTGTCCTGGCACCGGTAACCTACTGTGGGGACCAGACGCATTTCTGCCAAAAACTGCTGGGTTCCGAGATTTGTTTCTGAGTCTCTGGGATTATGGCCATTAAGCAGCTTGATCAGGAGCCAGAGAGGCCGTCCGTGGAAGGCAACTTGGGGTCTCATAGGGGTGGGGATGAAAGGGCCGGCTCCACCCCCATCCTGTGAGGCCCCCTTGTTTCATCACTGAGGGCCCAAACTTGACTGTCAAATGGCATCTGAAAGATGGCGGTCACCGAACCGCCAAGGAGGAGCAGGCAGAGGGACAATATCGTATCCTCTCTGGGGTGGTCCGGCCCTGGTAACCCACTGCGAGGACTGGGCGTATCTCTGCGAAAAGCCTCTGGGTTCTGAGATTTGTCTCTAAGTCTCTGGGATCATGGTCATTAAGCAGTTTGATCAGGAAGCAGAGAGGCCTTGAAAATTGACTATTTCTTAAAAAGCAAAACATACCTCTTACATTCTATTCAGTTATTCCAATTCTTGATATTTGCTCAAGAGAAATAGAAGCTGTGCCCACACAAGGAAAGGGCATGAGGGAGCTTCGGGTATTTTCATTGTCTTGAGTACAGTAATAGTTTTTTGGGTATATCCATCTGTCAAAACTTAGTCACTTGTACATTGAAAATACGAGAAGCTAATTGTCTAGTATATTTCAATAAAATTGCAAAAATACATTAAGATGTCTCTGGCTACAAATCACAGACAAGTCAACCCACAAGGTCTTACAAAATCAGGAGATTTCAATTTAATTTTTCACACTTAGCAATTAGACTATAGGTAGGTGTCTTCAGACTGGTTAAGTCAATGACTCAAAGACATCATCAAACCCTCAGATAAGTTCCATCTTTCCACCGTATTGCTCTCAGCTGTTATCTGAATTCATACGCTTGCTTTCCTCTGGTCACAGAGTGGCTGCCACAGCTCCAGACATCCTATTCAGACTTTACCACTTACCTCACTGCAGGCCCTAGTAGGTTGGTTGCTGCTCACATGGAAGTTGGTGTTGGGTTGTGGTTTTCTCTTGGGGGAAGAGTTTCAGAGCATCAGGAGTGGACCCTACTTCAATTGGTCAGGGAAACTGAGATTCCTCTTCCTCTAGCTAAGTTCTCCCATCTTTGATCATGGTGTCAGCCTCTGTTCTATGATGGATGAACCACGTGGAGACAGTCGCATCTCAGAGAGTGTCATTGGATGGTTTTCTTGATTTGTTTTGTTTTTTGAACCACACCCAGCTATGCTCAGGGCTTCCTCCTGCTCTTTGATCAGGGATCATTCCTGGGAGGGCTTGGGGGACCATATGGAATGTTGGGGTCTGAATCTGGGTTGGCCACATGCAAAGCAAGCACCCGATCTGCTGTACTATTGCTCTGGCCCTGGTTGGTTTTCTTGAAAGTGGAGGAACATGGAGGCATGGGGTTCACACTGTTTTTCTTTTGCTTCTTTATTTTTTTTTTGGAGGGGGGAATCACACCCAGTAGTACTCAGGGCTTACTCCTGGCTTTGTGCTCAGGGATCATTCCTGGGGGATTGGTTGGGGGCCATATGAGGTGTCGGGGAATGAAACTGGGTGGGATGCATGCAAGGCAAGCACCCTTTCCACTGGACTGTGGCTCCAGACCTTTGTTTCTGGTACTTATGCCCCAAGCTGTGGTTGAGGATAAGGACATGTGCTAAAAACTGGGAACAGCATCAGAGACTGTGGGACTGGGCCATGACAGCGTCATGAGATGGAGGCTCAGGGCCAAGGCCAGAGAGTGGGATATCAGCAGGGTGGGGAGTGAGGGAGAGGTGACACCTTTGGGGGACAGGCTCAGGCAGGGCCCAATGCTGACTTAGAAGTGGGAAAAGGTAGACTTGCCTTTGGTCCAGGGGACAGGTGAGTGTGGAAATTTCCATCACGGGGAAACTGAGTGAGCCCCAGGACCCCATCAGTGGGCGGTGTGCAGCTGGGGCAAGCCAGGTTTCAGGGGTCACAGCATAGAGGTGAGTCCCACCAGAGAGGAAGCAGGTAGGGGTCGATCAAGTCTTTGGTCCCCAGATCTGCAGAAGCAGGGCTCATTCTAGCTGTCCTGACTTCTGGTCGCAGCCCCGTTGTCCTCCTCATGCCAGTGAAGGGTGAAGGCACCCACCTCCCTCTGTTCCCACTGGGTGGGGTGCAACTATTTAGCATCAACTGGATCCTGGGATGGTCAAGAAATGCTAGGGGTGTGTCTAGAGTGGAATTGCAGAGGGAGAGCCCTTGCCTTGCTCACAGTTGACCTGAGTTTCATCTCCGGCACTGTGTGGGGTCCCCTGAACCCTGCCAGGAATGACTCTTAAGTACAGAGCCAGGAGTAAATCCTGAGAACTTTTGGGAGAGGCCAAGAAAGAAAGAGAGAGAAAGAGAGAGAGAGAGAGAGAGAGAGAGAGAGAGAGAGAGAGAGAGAGAGAGAGAGAGAGAGAGAGAGAGCAGGGCGATAGTACAGCAGGTAGGGCATTTGCCTTGCATGCTGCCGACCTGGGTTCTATCTCCTGCATCCCATATGGTCCCCCGAGGACCTCCAGGATTAATTCCTGAGTACAGAGAGCCAGGAGCAACCCCTGAGCACCGCTGGGTGTGACCCAAAAAGAAAAAAAAAGAATGAAGAATGAAAAGCTGGGGAGCAAGGGAAGTGTTGGCACCATGGGCAGAGGGGATTCCCAGGATCCAGATGTGCCTGGGGGCCTGGATGCTGGTGGTCTCAGCTCTGTCCCCGTCAGCCTGGAAGACTCAACCTCTGAGCTGCCCCACCAGCTCTGCCAGTGTTTTGTGGGTCCCCAACCCCTCCCTCCTCTTCCAGTTGCCCTGATTCACCTCGGACTTTGGGGAAAGTCCAAATTGGGAGGTAGACTTTTCGGGGGGGGGGATGAAGGGCACTGTAGGTGTGACAAGCACTGGCCTGGCAAACAAGCATGACTGAACGGGCTGACCTCATTCCTGCAGGTGCTAATGGGGCTATCTTTGCCCAGGGCCCTCCGCCCCTACCCGCAGGAGTGCCTGGGCTGAGCGCTCTTGCAGAACCTGTTGTTGGGCTATCCTGGCCTTTTCCTAACCTGCCAGCCCCGCTCCTTCCGTGAGAGTCCTTCCCTTTCTTTCCTTCCTTCTTTCTTTTCTTTTCTTTTCTTTTTTTTTTTTTTGGGTCACACCTGGCGATGCACAGGGGTTACTCCTGGCTCTGCACTCAGGAGTTACTCCTGGCGGTGCTCAGGGGACCATATGGGATGCTGGGAATTGAACCCGGGTTGGCTGCATGCAAGGCAAACGCCCTCCCCACTGTGCTATTTCTCCAACCCCATCTTTCTTTATTTTTTAATTTTGGTTTTTGGTCCACACCCGGCACTGCTCAGGGGTCACTCCTATTCCTGGGTCTGCGCTCAGGGGTCACTCCTGGAGGTGCTCAGGGGATCCTATGGGATGCCAGGGATCGAACCCGAGTCAGCCACATGCCAGGCAACACCCTACCCCGGTCTTTCTCTTCCTCTACAGCGTAGGAGGGAGACTCAGCGGGGCCCAAGTCGCCATGGCACGCACATTCCGGAGTCGGATTAGCTGCCTTCTAATCCCCACGCCGAAATTTACTAGCTGTGTGAATTTAGTTGGGCTCCTTAATCACTTCGAGCCTTGATTTCCTTTTCTGCAAGAGGAGGGATAATAATAGCACGGATGGCTCAACAATTCCCGGGAGGGGGACAAGAGCTACTGTCAGCGAAGGGCTTGGGATCCTGCCTGGAACCGCTGGGCACTCCGAGCTGCCTCTCTCTCAGACTGGCAGCTCCCCTCTCTCTTCTCTCTTCTCTCCCAGATACCAGAAAGCTCAGGAAGCCCCTCAGAATTAGGGGAGCGGGTGAGGAGAACCCCCAGCCCCAGAATTGCAAGGGGCAGTGAGTTTTAAGATGGGATTTGCTGAGATCTAGTATCTGCATCCTCACGTGATGGCTGTTGGCCTCTCTCTCTCTCTCTCTCTCTCTCTCTCTCTCTCTCTCTCGCTCTCTCTCTCTCTCTCTCTCTTTCTCCCCCTCCCCCCTAGTGTGTGTGTGTGTGTGTGTGTGTGTGTGTGTGTGTACACGCGCTTGCGCACTCTCAGAGACTGAAATAAAACTTCTGATCTGCTGTTTTCATTTTCATTCCCTGCCAATTTCCTGTCTCACTAGAAGGGGAGGGTCTTGGGCTATTTAAAACTCAGAAATATTTGAAAAGGTCAGAGAAGGAGGGAGAGAAGAGGGAGAGAAGGAGGGCTGGGGTGGGAATGTCAGGTAGGAGTTGTCCAGGATGGTCTGTAAAGCCCTGGGGGGTGGGGGGGGGTTGTTGAGGTTGGGGCCTGGACTGCAGGAACCTTTGGGGGCCCGAAGCTGGTGGGTTCGGAAAAGGCGCTGGCAGGTGAGACTGGGGAGGGAGCCGAGAGAGACACAGATGGACCTTTTAATGAAGCGGTCTTGGTGGTGCCACTGAGGATGTGGCTCCCCGGGGAGGTCCTTCCGTGCCACCATGGTTCCACATTTGGGCTGCCACCTCCCTTGTGTGGGCAGCCCAGGGTCTGCGGGACCCTCACTCTCGGGATGGCTCTGGGCATTTCCTTCACAGAACTCAGTGCCTGTTCTTCTCTCTTGCTGCCTCTTGGAGCGGGACCATTTGCTTCTGCTGCTCCTGGTCCTTCCGTCTGGATTTTCCTCTCCTGGAAAGTGGACAGGACATGCGTGTGTGCGTTTGTGTGTGTATGTGTGCCCGTGTGCATGTGTGTGTGCATGTATGTGTGCATGTGTGTGCACGTGCGTGTGTGTGCATGCGTGTGTGCATGTGCGTGCATGTGTGTGTGCATGTGCGCATATGTGCATGCGTGCATGCGTGAGTGTGCTCATGTGCGGTGTGCGCCTGTCTGTGGGCATGTGCGCGTGTGCGCGTGTGTGCGTGTGCACGTGTGTGCGTTGTGCGTGCGTGTGTGTGTGTGTGTGTGTGTGTGTGTGTTCTGGGCATTTGGCCTCCCAGCCAAGGCTGGGAGCAGAGCTGGGGGGCTTCTAGACAGCTTTCTGCTCAATCTCCCCATGCCCCCCACTCCAGTCCCCACGCCCCAAACATCTCCTACTTCCTGGCGCTGGGACCCCAGAGACAGCGGAACTTGACAGGAGCTGAGGTGGAAGAAGCGGTCTGGACCGAAGTCTCAGAGCTACCCCAGCCTGGACTCGGGTCCCGGGGTGCCCCTTGCGCCTCTCGGGGGCTGCCCACCTGCTCTCCAGATCCTGCACCGTGTCCGGCAGCGGCTGACCCAGGGTCTCGGGCAGGAGGGCGGTGACGGCGCTGGCAGCCACTGGGATGGCGCCGTAGATGAAGAGAGGCAGGGGCGGGTAGAGCTCTGCCGTCATGCTCACCAACGGGCTGACAATGCTGCCCACGCGGGCCATGGTGCTGCCCATCCCCAGGCCTGTCTGCCTGTGGGACCCCAGGGAGGACTGCAGGTTAGATTCTGAGTGAAAGGTGAGGGGCTGGCCCACGGGAGTTCCGGGGTACCCTGACACTCCCCTGGTACCCTCCACTTGACAGCATTTTCTTTTTGTTTTGTTTTGGGGCATCGCCTGGTAATACTTAGTGGTTACTCCTGGCTGTCCACTCAGGGAATCACTCCTGGCTGCGCTTGGATATTGAACCCAGGTCAATTGTGTGCAAGGCAATTGGTCTATCCCTCCGGCCCCATCCACTGGTCCCCACTTGGTGAGCAAACCAACTAATTGCTTGATGCTCAAGCCCAATGATGTCCTGCTTGGTCACACCTCCAAGGTCACACTCGGTAGTGCTTGAGGGACCATGTGGTGCCAGGGATCAGCCTGGGTTGGCCGCATGCAAGGCACAGCCTCAACACCAGCACAGAGTGGGATTTTTGGGTTTGTTTGGGGGCCCTATCAGGTGGTTCTCAGGTCTCTGTGCTCAGGAACTGCTCCTGGGGGACCTAGGGGACAATATACAGTGTTGGAATGGAACCCAGGTCAACCCTATATAAGGCAAGAGCTATGCTATGTCTCTGGCCCTACATCATAGTGTTTTTTTTTTTTTTAATGTGTGTGTGTGTGTGTGTGGCGGGGTGTCACACCCGGCAGTGCTCAGGGGTTACTCTTGGCTCTGCACTCAGGATTCACTCCTGACACTGCTTGGGGAGCCATATGGGATACTGGGGACAGAACCCGAGTCGGCTGCATGGAAGGCAAATGCCCTCCCTGCTGTCCTATCACTCCAGCCCCACATCATGTTTTATAGGATTCTTTCCCCCAAATCTCACATCCCAAGGCCCCTGGGGTTCTCATTCCAAGAGTTTCTCAGACACCCCCTGTGAGCCGTGCGGACTGTGGTCTTCACTCTCCTTGATCTCCTTCTCTGTGTGGCTGCCTACCTGCTCCTTGAGCTCGCACGTCCGTGGCTGGGGTTCCCGGAGCTTGTGCGCATGTGTTGTGGGGCGCCCTGAGGGCTGTGAGTGATGCTCGTGGCCACGGGGCAGTGCTGGGGCTCGAGCATGAGGCCTCACGCTCAAGCTCTCCCGCGGAGCCTCCTCCCTGGTCCCATTTCATTTCTCCTTCGTGGATTTTTTTTTTTTTTTTTTTGCTTTTTGGGTCACACCTGGTGATGCACAGGGGTTACTCCTAGCTCTGCGCTCAGGGATTATTCCTGGCGGAGCTCGGGGGACCAGATGGGATGCTGGGACTCACCCGGGTCGGTGGCGTGCAAGGCAAACACCCTACCTGCTGTGCTATCGCTCCAGCCCCTTATTTCTCCTTTTTATCATCTTTCTTTTGAGTTCTATCTTGTTTGGGCCACACCCAGTGGCGCTTCAGGACTACTCCTGGCTTGGTGCTCAGGGTTCCTCCTGAAAGTGCTGGGAAAGGGACTCAGGGCTCCTGTATGCCAAGAACACACTCCAGGCCTTGGAGCCAATTCCTGTGCCACCTCCCCTCCCCCCACCCCCAAACAAAGATTTATTTACTTACTTATTTTTTGCAATGCTGGGTATCAGACCCAGGGCTTCACATACGAAAGGCAGAAGTTAAACCCCTGAGGGGCTGGAGTGATAGCACAGCGGGTAGGGCATTTGCCTTGCACTCAGCTGACCCAGGTTCGATTCCCAGCATCCCATATGGTTCCCTGAGCACTGCCAGGAGTCATTCCTGAGTGTAGAGCCAGGAGGAACCCCTGAGCATTGCCGGGTGTGTGACCCAAAAAGCCAAAAAAAAAAAAAAAGAAGAAGTTCAACCCCTGAGCTACACTGTCCCTTTTTTGGGGGGTGCGGGGGCTGCGGTTCACAGCACCTGTGCTCAGGGCTTATTCCTGCTCTGTGCTCAGGGGTCAGTCTTCACAGTGCTCAGGAAACCATGTGTTGTGCTGGGAGTCGAACCCAGGTCGGTTGCCTGCAAGGCAAGCATTCTGACCCTCTGCCTTAGCATGAGCTTTTTGTTTTGTTTTGGGGCCACACCTGATTGGTGCTCAGGGCTTACTCTTGGCTCTGCATTCAGGAATCACTCCTGGTGGTGCTCAGGGGTCATATATGGTGCCGAGGATTGAAACCGGATCAGCTATATGCAAGGCAAGTGCCCTATCCACTGTACTATCTCTCCAAACCCTGTTCCTTATTTACTTATTATTATTTTTCATATATATATGGTGACACCTGGTAGTGCTTGTCACCAGGACCACCAAGGGTCCTACTCAGTGTTTCTGGGGGTTGGGGGAGGCAGGTGGTGCTAGGGATCAGACTCAGGTCTTGCATGTACAATGCATGTACTCTATCATTTAATTCATATCTCTGGCTTATGGATTTTTTTGTTTGGTTTTGTTTTGGGGCCATATCTGGTGAAGCTCAGGGGTTACTCCTGGCTCTGCACTCAGGAATCACTCCTGGCGGTGCTTGGGGGATCATATGGGATGCCAGAACTGAATCCAGGTCAGCTGCGTGCAAGGCAAGCATCTTACCTGCTCTATTATCATTCTGGCCCTTTGTTTTTCAATGCAGAGACATACCCCCGCCCCCTTTCCCAGGTCTTGGAAGTTGTGGCCATGTTTATCTGAGTGGCTGGCACACTGGTCAGCAGCCCTGACCCGTAAACAGTTGGGGTTGGAGGTGCCAGCCCTCTCCGTGTATGTCTTTGACACCCCCTACCCTGCTCCATACTGTACTACCAGTTGTCTCCTGATGGGCTGAGGTTTCTGGAGTCTCTCGGGTACCAAACTCCCATGGAATCAGCCTCACATTCTCGGGCTCCTCCTTCACAGACGCGCACAGGGCGGGCAGTAGGTGCCTTGGGTTGGTTCATCGTGAAAGGGGAGCAGGAGGATGCTGAGAGCCACCTGTGTGATTGACAGCACCTGGGGGAGGTGGACCCAGGCAGCTCAAATCAAATCGGATCTGCCTCACTCCTTGGACAGCTCCAGCCCCACGCACGATCCAGCGTGGCTTCCAGAGTGGAGGGTTACCTTCAGCATGTCGTGGCCTTTGGTCTCACACATGTGCTTGGGCTTCGAGCTGGCATTTCAGACAGCGCCCAGAGCTTCTAACTTGGGCTTTGGCAACCAAGGAGAACCCTCAAGTCTCTACTTCTGAGCTGTGTTTTCTTCTTTGCTTCCCTAGTGGTGCCTCCCCACTTTTGAAGTGCTCTCCTGCGGTCAGCTCAGGCTTTCCTGGGCAGCCCCACCGGCACCTGGCATGTTGGGAGTGTCTGCCGGCCCCTCCTGGACATAACTTGTATGTAGGGGTTTGGTGGGGGGTGTGGGCTGCCCCAAGACCCCTCCCCTTGTCAGGCTCCCACTCACCGGATCATGGTGGGGTACAGCTCTCCGGTATACAGGAAGATGCAGTTAAAGGAAGCCGCCAGACAGCCCTTCCCCAGCACGGCCAGGGAGGTACGGACAATGGTTTGATCTAGAGAGAGAGGAGCGGGCATCAGCGGGAACCCAGGGGCGGGGAGGCGTTGAGTCGTGGGGTGAGACCAGAGTTGAAGGTGCGGGTAGGTGCTCACCCCGGGGTATCACCCCATTGACCAGGATGCAGATGCCCGCCAGCAGCAGGGAGGCCATCTGGGCAGGCCGGCGACCCAGCGAGTTGATAACCAGGAAGCATATAAGCTTGGCCGGGAGGTCCACGGCCCCGAAGATGATCTGGATTAGGTAGATGCTGACCCCGAAGCCCTGGAGGTCCATGACCAGCCCGTAGTAGGCAAAGCTGGTGGCAAACCTGATCGAGAGACACATGGGGACAGGGGGTCTGTGAGCAAGGCTGGGGCTGGGGGTGCGGAGCTCACTCAAAGTAGGTGTGTGTGCGTGCCAGTGTGTGTGTGCGCCTGTGTGTGCATGTGTGCTTGTGTGTGTGTGCATGCGTGCCTGTGTGTGTGCTTGTGTGTGTGTGCATATCTGTGTGTGTGTGCATGCCTCTGTGTGTGGGGTGTGTGTGTGTGCATATCTGTGTGTGTGTGCATGCCTCTGTGTGTGGGGTGTGTGTGTGTGCATATCTGTGTGTGTGTGCCTCTGTGTGTGTGAGTGTCTGTGTGTGTGTGCGTGTGTGTGTGTGTGTGTGTGTGTGTGTGATGCGGGGTGCCCTGTTCAGAACCTGGAATTTGCCTTAGTTGTTATGTTTTCGGGCAGCTGGGTGAGTATCAGGGGTCACCCTCCCATCCTCTCCATCCTTGGATAAGGCTGTGTGCAGTGATTGGGGAACTTCCTGTCAGTTGCTCTATGGGAATACTTTGCATTCTGGCCGCTATTGCTATAGGCCAGAGGAAGGCCAGCGAACCCTCCAGGCCACTTTTATTTTCCTTTCCTTCTCCGGGATGTGTTGGGTTTCAGGGGTGCACTTGTTGATGATGCTCAGGGAGCGCTCCTGACTCATTGCTCAGGGGACGTTCCTGGGGTGGGGGGGAGTGGGGGGGACTGTGAGGCCGGGGATGGAAATTGGGTTTTGAACTTGCTCTTGGGCCATCCAAGCTGAGATCTCTAGGTGCAAGTTGCTGGGACAGCCTGAGCACGGTCCGGGGAGGGCTCTGAGCCGAGGGGAGCAGAGGAGCCCCAAGGGAGAGCCAGTCCCCCCCATGGGCAGAGCGCTGCTTCTCGGCTGATCCTACTGGCGTGGAGTTGCCATGGAGACGGAAGCCAAGAGGAGCAGAAGCGAAGTGAAGAGTCTTGCAACAGGCTGACTGTGGGTCACATCAGTCTCCGCCCAGTTGGCCTTGAGGCTCCCCCAAACCCGCCCAAATCTCAGTGTTGGCTGAGCCAGCCGGCTGTCTGCCCTCAGGATACAGTTCTATCCACCCTGGGGTCTCCCAGTTGGGGCAAGTGTGTCCAGGCTGGGACAGAGGAAGGAGGATGCTACTTCGGGGTGTGGCATGGGACAGAGGCCCTGCAGGGGGATCCTGCCTGTCTGCAGAGCAGGACGTGTGTCTCCTCCCGCTCCACCCCTGCCTCCTCTCTCTCCCCAGCCAGCTCTGTCTCTCGGGTCTGTCTGTCCAGCAGTCTGTCTGGGCCTACCACAGCATGGAGAGGCAGAGGAAGAGGTGGCGGAGGGTGGAGCAGCGCAGCAGCTCCATGGCCGAGGCCTGGCCTTGGTTCAGGGTCAGCTCCTTCTGCAGACTGGCCCGCAGCACCTGCCGGGGGTGGACACGGCTCAGGACTGGGGGTGCCACCAGGCCCCCTCATTGGGCAAGCCCTCTGGGTCGGGGAACCTGAGTTCAAGGTTTCCTCTGAGTGGAGGGCCCGTCCAAGCAATCTTTAGTGGGGAAGGCTGAGGGGTGGTCACTCCTAGCCGTAGCTGGCAGAGCAGGCTGGACACTTCAGTGCTGGGCGCTGAGACGCAGTGTTGCTCCAGCCCATGCATGGTGCTGAGTGTGTGCAGGGGGGTCACAGGGCCACCCTGGCAGGGTTGGAGATGGACCTGGGGCCCAGCGCATGTGAGGTAGGAGCTCCACTGAGCTCTTGCCAGGCCCCTGGGCTCCAGGCATGAGGGTGCAGCCCTGGTGGGGGTCTTGAGATGCCTGTGGCAGGGGGTGGGGGCTTACCTCCATGCTCAGCTTGGCGCCTTCTTCCTGCTTCCCGTTGATCCAGGCCACTTTCTGCAGGGCCTTCAGGGTGCGGTCCAGCCTTCCCGAGGTGGAGTACCACCGGGCTGACTCGATGAAGAACCTGGCAGTGGGCATGGCGGGGAGGACTGGGCTTACGGTGTGGGGAGCACCAGGCTTGGAGCAGGGGGGGAGCACCAGGCTCAGAGTGAGGGGAGGACCAGATTCTGGGTAGGGGGAGGACCAGGTTCAGGGTGGGGGGAGGACCAGGATCAGGGTGTGGGGAGAACCAGGCTTGGGGTGGGGGAAGGACCAGGCTCAAGGTGGGGGGAGGACCAAGCTCAGAGCATGGGGAGGGGGCTTTCCAGAGGCCTGCAGGGGGTGTTTATTTAAATCTAGGGGCCCAGGAATTGACCCATTTTTCTCTAGGACTCCAAAGCTGGGCCCAGCTTGGAGTCAGCCCACTCCCCACCCCAGAGGCTCAGTTCTTGGGTGCTGGAGAAAGAAGTGGAGCAGCTGGCCGGAGAACTGCCCAGGGCCTCCCTCCTTCCTCCCCCTATAGCCTCAGTTTCCCCCGCAGTCACGTGGAGGCATTGGTATGACCAGCGAAGGACCTTCTCTGGAGGGTGGGGTGGGAGGCCCCGTTAGATGGGAGGGGGTCTGGTCCCCGGGAGCACCCCAGGCTCCTGGGCCGCCCCATCTGCCATGAACCCCACGCACCAGGAGTAGATGAAGAAGGCGAAAAACGGCACTGAGACCAGCAACTGCAGGCGGCGCCAGTGGGGCACGGCGTAGGCCACTCCGGCCAGCAGGAACTGGCCCAGGCTGTACACGTAGCCGATGAGGGTGCCCACACAGGCTCGCGTCTGGATGGGCATCCACTCCACATCTAGAGAGGGCGTTGGGGTGGCCGGGGGTCACTTCCAGGAGGATGGAGACACCCCCACGCCCCCCACCCCAGGGCAGCCAATGGCCCCTCTCGCCATGCCAACCTTGGTCTGTCCCAAGACGGCGGGAAGTGAGGCCGGGTGAGTCAGTCAGGGGTGAGGGGTGAAGAAGTGGGTCTAGAACCCCCAGGGATTGGCCCTTCCACTCTCATCCTGGGCTTTTTTCTCCTCCCCTACCTGCTCTCACCGGGGCCTGTTTTCTGGGGTCTCTGCTCCTCACACAGTGTAAATTCCACTGCCGCCAGCCCCTGGCTCTGGCCCCGGCCAGGGCGGATTTCGGCCCCAGTGGCTGGGGGCGTGCAGCTGTGCTCTGCTGTCTCCCAGTTGGCTTTCTAGCCAACTCTGGACACTGCTCATGGGGTGCTCCTGGAGAAAATCCGTTCCCTACTCCCACCCTCAGGCCCCTCCTGGGAGGAGCTGGGGAGTGGGTGGGGCAGGGGGTGACTTTTCATTGACGTTCTATGGACACCCCAGATGCCGGGAGGAAAACGTGCTTCCGATCTGCCAGCTGTTTGCTATATTAGAGTTACTTGGCATCATGGGAATGTTGGGGTAGCTGACACCCAGAGAAAGGGGTGCAGGGAGGTCTGAGAGCCTGAGCCTTTGCCTGGGACATTTCCGTTGGCCATTGTCCTCGCTGCTCCCCGATGCCCATAGACCCGGTGGTCAGCTGCTCTCGCCTATGGGTACGAGGTGTCCTGGGCACCAGCAACAGAGATGGCACGCCCAGGTCTGAATGGTGGGGGGGGGAGTGAGCTGGCGTAAGGAGGCTGAGATGCTGGCAGACCCCAGGAGCAGGTGGCAGGGGCTAGGGCGGGCTCAGGCAGGGTGGGCTGGGAGAGGCGCTGGAACAGGGAGGGGCTGCGGGTCCAGGGAAGGGACCCCTCACTCAGTGTCATGCAGTTGATGGCGATGCCTGCCAGCGACATGCCCGAGAGGAGGCGGAAGGTGCAGTAGAGGGGGAAGTTGGGAGCGAAGGCGGCGCATGTGCCTGACACAGCCGTCTGCAGGTAGTTCAAGATCAGCACCTTCCGGCGGCCCAGCCTGTGGGAGGAGGTGAGGCCTGAAGCAGGGGCCCCCCCAGGACAAAGGGGTGGGGGGGCACAACAGGCTGGACTCTGAGATGAGGGTCATGGGGCACTTGCGGCGGGCACTTAGGTCCTCACACCGGGCCCAGCCGGAAGGCTCGTCTCCTCCCAGCCCCCCGGGGCCCCTCCAGGACTGACCTGTCTGCCAGGTACCCGAACACCATGGCTCCAAACAGCACCCCCACCATGTACAGGGACTGAGCCAGCTGGCGCAGGGCCCTGTGAGGGCATACCAGGTCCCACTGTGGGAGTGGGGACAAGGGTCAGGCCCACACGAGCCCTGTGGCAGAGCACCCCCCCCCCCCCCCCGGCCCCGTTAGCCACCCTCCTCCCTCTGACGCTCTGTGCTGAGCTCCAGGGGCCCGGAGCAGAGAGATACTCCTTGGACGTACAGGTGATGCAGCTGCCCAAGACCCGGATCCCTGCTCAGGCCCCTAAGAACTCGAGACTCTGTGTGTGTGTGTGTGTGTGTGTGTGTGTGTGTGTTTGTCCTGGTGTGTGTTCAATGTATGTGCCTGTGTGTTAGTGTAGAGGTGTGTTCTTTGCGTGTCTGTGTCTGTGTGAGGGTTTAGGGAAGTGTGTGTGTGTGTGTATGCGTGTGCTATGTGAGTTTCTATGTGTCCATGTATGTTTGAGTGTTTGTCTCTGTGTGTGTATGTGTGTGTTCGGTGTATGTGCTTGTGTAGGGGTGTGTTATCTATGTGTCTCTGTCTGTGTGAGGGTTTAGGTGTATGTGTGTTATGAGTTTCTATATATCTATGCATGCCTGAATGTTTATCTGTGTGTGTGTGTGTGTGTGACTGTCTCTGAGTGGAAGGCAGAGTCAGCATGACATGAGTGTGTGTGTGCGTCTGTGCGCGCATGTGTGTGTGAGTGCATGTGTGTGTGCATGTGTATATGTGAGTATGTGTGTGTGCATGTGCATGAGTGAACATGTGTGTGCACATGTGTGTATGTGAGTGCTTGTGTATGAGTGTGTGTGACTGTCGCTGAGTGGAAGACAGAGTCGGTATGATGTGAGTGTATGTGTGTGAGTGCATGCATATGTGTGTGCATGTAGTGTGAGTGTGTGTGTGTGAGTGTGTGACTGTTTCTGAGTGGAAGGCAGAGTTGGCATGGCATGAGTATGTGTGTGTGTATGAGTGCGTGAGTGTGAGTGTGTGTGTGTGTGTGAGTGTGTGTGAGTGCATGTGTGTGTGTGAGTGCATGTGTGTGTGTGAGTGTGTGTGTGTATGTGTGTGAGTGAGTGTGTGAGTGTGTGTGTGCGCGCACGCTCTCGGGGAGGGCGGGGGGCCCTGGTCACCTCACCTCGGTCACGATGGTGGACGGGAAAGTGCTGTTGTCGTAGATCCAGCCGTCCGGGCAGGGTTCTGTGTTCCCTGTGCCGTTGGCCTCTGTGCTGTTGAGGAAGGGGGGTCCCCACTGCGGGGAGGTGAAACGGCGGCAGGACTCGCGCTGCCCTTGCTCATTGCGGGGCAGCCAGGCCTCCAGCTCCGCATCGTGGCTGAGGTTGGCTTCGGCAGGAGGGCGGCAGTGGTGGGTGGGGATGGCGGCAGTGTAGTTCTGCAGGGTGTTGTGGGAGGCCATCAGGAGCAGGGGGAGGACCACCAGGGTGACCTGGATCTGCTGGAAGCGGCCAACGCCCCCCACCTGCTGCAGGAGGTCATTGAAGGCCATGGGGCCGGGCCCAGCCGAGTGGCTGGGGGCTGAGGACTCCCAGGCCCGGGGCCTCCGTCGCGGTGTGTGCTGCCCTGCGGTCCCTGAGGCTGCCTCGGGAGAGGGCCGGCTGGAGGAGCGGCGAGTCTGAGGCGGCTCTGCGGGGGGACAGCAGCCTGGCCACGCTGCTCCTCCTACCTTCTAGGGTCTGTCCCTCCCTTTCCCTCTCAGCCTCGCCTCACGCGCTGGGGTGGGAGCGCTCAGACTCAGGGGCCGCCGAGCCCTGACCCCTCTGGGAGCAGTCTTTAATGCTCAGTCAGGAAGGAATGAGTTAAAGTGTGACTTGGTAGCAGAAGGATTAACCCTCCCTGTAGCCCTGGGTTAGTGGAATTTCTCCAAGTGGGTATAAAGGGCAGGAGAGGCGGGGAGGGAAAGCGGGGAGCCCACCTGGATCTCTGGGGGCCGGAGGGGGCCGAGTGCAACCTTTTGATTTGTCCTCTCAAGTGAGAAGAGCCCGTCTGGGAAGTGGCTTCTTGAGGGGTTCCTCTGCTTTCCGGTGGACAGGATCCGAGCTCGCCCTGGGAAGGTTTCCAGAGAAAATAGGGGATGTGCAGCCAGACAGAGCTTGACAGCAAGAATCAATGGTCTATTAATGCAGCAGCGCGGAGGTGGCCTGGGGCCCCTCCTGGAGACCTGTGGCTGTCTGAGGATGCGGTACTTCAGGGCCTGTGGGGCCAGGATGCACCAGAATGCACCCCAGCCCAGTGCCCAGGGGCTTCTGGGGATACACCTTGTGGTCCCTGGGAAGGAGGGTGCCCTGTGGGACTGGGGCTTGAATCCGGATCGGGTTTACAAAAGTATAAACACGTGTCTACCATTTATTTATTTATTTAATTTTTTTTGCTTGTTGAGTCTTATCTGGTGATGCACAGGGGTTACTCCCTGGTTCTGCACTCAGGAATTACTCCTGGTGGTGTTTGGGGAACCCTATGGGATGCTGGAAATTGAACCCGGGTCGGCCACGTGCAAGGCAAATGCCCTACCCGCTGCGCTGTCACTCCAGCCCATGTGTCTACTATTTAACGGGAAAGATTTATACCCAGATTATTCGGCAATAGGAAATTCAAATCAAACCGGGAGCATTGTATTGTGCTTTGCTAGTTTGGCAATGCCGATCTTTGGGTTTTTGGGGATCATAGCTCTGTTCATTTGCAAACAACTGTTTTAGAAGTGAGACACTATTTCTTTCTTTTCTTTTCTTTTTATTGGGTAATACCCAGCAGGGCCCAGGGGCTCTTTCGATGGCACAGAGGAATCATTTCTAGAGCCCCTGCAAGCAAAGCCTGAACTCCAGTCTCTGAGCCAGCCCCCAGAGGCTGTTTTGGAAAGAGCGGGTCCAAAGATCAACTTCATATCCAGTGTAGACATAGATTTGACTGTCTGTGGGAGGAGTCCAGTCCTTCCTAGGTGTAACCTCTTTTCTTTTCTCTTCTCTTCTCTTCTCTTCTCTTCTCTTCTCTTCTCTTCTCTTCTCTTCTCTTCTCTTCTCTTCTCTTCTCTTCTCTTCTCTTCTCTTCTCGCTCATTCCCAGCAATGTTCAGGTTTGCTCCTGGCTCTGCACTCAGGAGTTACTCCTGGCGGTGCTTGGGGGACCATATGAGATGCTGAGGATCAAACCCCAGTCAACTGCACGCAAGGCAAAATGCCCTCCCCACTGTACTATTGCTCTGGCCCATATGTTGGAGTAGAACATGTTGATAGATGTTTCAGTATCTAAAACCCTCCCCACCCTTGTCATTTGTCATTCTTTCTGTCCTTTGTTTTCTTCCTCTTCTTCAAAACAGTCGCTTGATTTTCTCCAACCATTTGGCTCCAGGTCACTCCACTGAGGGTGGTACAAGGTTTGATGGGATGGGTTTCCATGGACTCTGGCTGGTTGGATGGTGGGTCCAGCCAGATCAGAAGAAGAGGTTGCAGCTTCTTTTTGTTGTTGTTGTTGCTTTTTGGGCCATACCCAGTGACGCTCAGGGTTACTCCTGGCTCTGCATTCAGGAATTACTCCTGGTGGTGCTCGGGGGACCATATGGGATGTGGAGGATTGAATCTAGGTGAGCGGTGTGCAAGGCAAATACCATACCTACCCTCTGTACTATCTCTCTGACCCCAAGGTTGCAACTTTTTGCTCTCAATTTGCATAGTTCAGATTATATAAGGCATGTCTTGGACTTGGCGACTTGGAGTTCACACTTGTTGCCTACGTAGCTGGGAGCAAGTTACTAAATGCCATAGAAGCTTGGCCTCCCTGTTTGCAAGCTGTGCACAGTAGTTGAGACTGTCTCATTGGGCGGCTTACAGGGGTGAATACAGGCTGAGGTTTTAAAGTCGCTCTTGTGCTGTTGCTTAGCGATTACCAGTTGACATTATTTGTTTCTGGTAGAAAGGCAAGAAAAGCAAGACTATCCCATTCTTCTTTTTATTCTTTTTGTTTTATTGGGTCAGACCCAGAAGTCCTCAGGGATCACTCCTCGAGGACTGAGGAGACCTTATGCAATGCCAGGGATCAAACCTGGGTAGACCACATGCAAGGTAAGGGCCCTCCCTGCTGTACTATCTCTCATTCCAGTCCATATCACATTAATTTTAGAGGGAAAAGAGGACATCTTTAAGAGCAAGCGACTCTACCATGGGTCATTTTGCCTTCTCACCATCCTCTGGGGACGTATGGTAACACCTGGAGACATTTGTCACTGCCACCTCTGGGGTAATGATATTATCAGCTTCTTCCTAGTGCATAGAGGTGAGGGATGTTGATGAATGTCTTGTGATGCACACAGCACAGTCCCTCCTAACCAAGAGGGGTCTGGAACCAAAATGTCAATAGTTCCAGGGTTGACAGAACCAACCCTAGAAGATAGCTTAGACTTATTAAATAGTTAAAGTAAAGTAAAAGTAAATTAAGTAAATTAAATTAAGTGCCTTATCAGGTGGTGCTTAGGGATGACTCCTGGCTCTGTACTCAGAGATAATTCATAGGGGGCTCCAGGGGGAACCACAGGGGGTTCTGGGGATCAAATCTGGATTGGCTGTGTGCAAGGAGAAGAAGGCCTTACAGATGACACCCTCCCAAAGTATTTGTAAGAATCCTGCTATTTCTTCCAGAGCAGAGTAGCTTGGGCTCCAGAGTGCCACATGCTTCCTGCCTGGGGCTGGCTAGATTCCCACTAGGATGGTCCAACCAGGACTTGATGCTTCCTGTGACTTCACCATCATTTTCTAGTGGTATGGTTGGCTTGGGTAACAGTGACCATCTTCTTGGTTATTCATGATGTGGTTTCTTTGGAGGGTCTCTGGCTGCCTCCACTCCGTAACCCAGCTCTGATGGACCGTCCCTCCATTCCACGTCATCAGATATGAATGTGGGGGATTATTTGTGTTCCGTTGCTTCACAATCCAATTGATGTAAAGTGCCATGAAGGCAACACTTCTCAGTTCTTCTGAACACAAATTTCTGTCTGGATGCAGTATGATTGAGACTTTTCTAGTAAGGAGTCATAATATCAAAGATAACTCCCTAGAGGAGACAACACATCACTTGTTACGCCTGAATTTCAGATCCCCAGTAGTGGAGAGACCAAGTCCACACATGATAATGCAGAAGCAAAGGAACTTTAATGCTAGCTCAAGCTAGGGTCCAAGTCTCATTCAATGCAGTGGAGTCTTGATAAGGACCCTGACTCCAAGTCAAAGCAGTTTATATAGGTTTCAAGGTTGAGCTAGCACTACGATAACAGTGATCAAGAAACAGTCGTCAGTGATTAGTCAACATTTGATAACAGTTAGTCAGTTTCTGGTTGTTCCAAAAAAAATGGACATAGTGACCCCTCATGACCAATCAGATGATCTAGCAGTTCCTTCTTTGGGTAGGTAAACTCAACTGGGAGTTTACCAGAAATTGCAAGTTCAGTTTCTGGAAAACAGAAACTTAGGCCTAGTCAAAACTTAATGTTAGCCACGGCCTGTCATGGTGTCAGTTTTGTCCTCACATACTAAGCTGCCTGCACTCTTGAGCGGTATGTTGGGAGTTTATTTGTTATCTATTAAAATCCTGGGATATGGGAGCTGGAATGATGGTACAGGGGTAGGGTGCCTGCCTTGCACAAGGCTGACCTGGATTTGATACCTGGCACCTCATATGGTCCCCCATACTACATCAGGAGTGATCCTTGAGCACAGAGCCAGGAGTAAGCCCTGAGCACTGCTGGGTGTGACCCCCCAAGCCCCCCAAACAAACAAACCAATGACAACAACAACAACAACACAAAATTGCTCTGAGATTTACACAAATCCTTATGCTTGTTTAGACCTACCCTGTCTTGTGTCAAAGTCAGATTCTTAGCTGTCGCTCTGAAGAGGTAAACTTGTCTTCTAAAGGGATCTGGAAGACCCTCTGTTCTATGCACCGAGAAGAAGAAGGGAGGCCCTGAGTGGGATGAGACTCGGCCTAGCTCCCTCCTCCTCCTCCTCCTCCTCCTCCCTAGTGTTGGTTCTGGGCTGGGACCCAGAGGGGGTCCAGATGCCTGACAACATTCTCTAGGCCAAGGTACATAAGAGCCTTGTGACCTGGGGTGTGCGGACAGCTGGACAAACAGCTGAAGAGGCTCGGGGCTGACTTCCTGCCAGGACCTGGGGCCCTCACACAGGAATAGGCAGAGCGCTGAGCGAGTGGGGGAGCCGATGGGCCCCTCTTTGAGCCAGTGCCTGACTGTGTCCTGGAGGAGCACTTCTTGTCTAATGCCTGGCCAGCTCTGAGTCAGGCTGAGCCTGGAAAAGTCTCATTAGGGAGACTCTAGAGATTGAATGGTGGTTGGCTCCCAGGACTGTCGGGTAAGCCTTTGTGTGTGTGTGTGTGTGTGTGTGTGTGTGTCCCTCCCCCTGTGCTTCCAGACTACTGCAGTACATGACTTGCAGAGCTGAGAGCTATCCTTTGAGGGACTTTCTGGGTCATGAAATACTTAGACTTGGACTCCCTTGTGCTGTTTGGAATGTGGATGGAAGTTCTGGCCATGCTCAATGAGAAGGAACCAAACCTGAGGACTTCCCATTGGCCAAGAGCCCCATGCCATCAGAGGTGAA